GTTCCCCGAAGGAGGACAAGATGCGGGCCTTTGCGCCGGAGCTCCTTGGCATGCATGCGCTTATCAGGCCCCCCTCTCTTCCTCCCCTCCTCCTCCTCCCCCCTCCTCCTCCCCCTCCTCCATCCCCTTCTCCTCCTCCTCCTCCTCCCCCTCCTCCTCCTCTCTCCTCCTCTCTCCTCCTTCTTCTGCCCCATCTCATCCTCGCCCTCATCTTAGGCATTTCGCGGGGCTGCACCTTCTCGACGCGGCGCTAGACAAGCAGGCGGCCTCGTTCCAAGCTGCGTGCGCGACGCTGGACTTGCTACGCGCGGTAAAGCAGGGGCGCGTTGGCTCGCGCGAAGGGGCGGCGCAGTTGCGGCGAGCCCACGCCGAGCACCTTCGATTGCATAAAGAGGCGTACGGCACAGCGAATATCCTGCCGAAGCACCACATGATGTTTGTCGCGGCCGACCAGCGGGAACGCGAGGGGGGGGGGCGCCGCTGTGGTAGATGCATGTGTCGTCGAGCGGTTGCACACCGGGATAAAGCATTGCATGGGGCCGATCGGCAGCACCGGGAACTCTGAAGTGTCATGCTTGGCGTCTTTGATTGATGTCCACCTGATGGCCTTGGAGGACCTCGCGTTCGGCGATGGCCTCCCGGGGAAGACGTCGTTTCTTGATGGGGCGCGGGTGCCAATGGCAGATCGAATGTCTGTCTCTGGCCTTACCCTTGAGGTTGGTGACATCGCTCCGCTCGAAGGAGTTGCCGGCAGGGTGCGCGTTTGCGTCGTTGCTGATGGCAATTACTTGGCGCTGGTGGAGACGTTCGAGCACGTGGTCAGGCTGTCAGCGCACTCCGACCGATGGAAAAGTGGAGGCGCCATCCAGGCGCGGCGCGCGGACGCCGTGCCCTCGGCGCTTGCGCGGTGCATGCGCGGCGATGACGTCGCAGCGCTGCGATTGGCATAGCGCCACGCGCTGAAAGAAGAAGAAGAAACAACACATCTATGTTAAAAAATGCCCCCCCCCCCCCCCCCCCCCCCCCCCCCCCCATGCTGCCATCCTAACGCTGCGCGCTCCATCCAGCCCTCGCGCTGTCGATCGATCTCGCTGTTGCCCCCAACTCTTCCAAGCGCAAGCGCCCCCCCCCCCCCCCCCCTCTTCCGCTATCTCGGCCTACCCGCCGCCCTTAATAGCGCATGCGCTGCCGCAACCATTTGAAATCTCTGACCCTTGATGTTTTGGCATCGACACGGGAAACCCAGGGCTCGCAATTTCGGGCCAAGGGATCCGCGGGAGAAGGAGGAGGATGGCTAGGCGGAGGAGGACGAGGAGGAAGAGGGGCGTTTAGTCATAGCGCATGCGCTCGAGCTCAGGCCGCCCATGCATCGCTCGCCGCTCAATCCGATTCAATCCGAATCGCCGACTCCGCCCCCGAAGACGTAGAGGCAGTCTCCCCAGCATCATTGCATCCAGTAGGCGGTCTTGACGCTCGGATTGCCGCTGGAGCTCCTGCGAGAAGCTGTCCGCCACATTCTGCAACTGGTGGTCAAAGTGCTGCCGCCCCGTTGCCTCTAGAACTGAATGTCGCGGTCATCGCTTCGATCGTCGCAGCACCGAAATGGCTCGAAACTGGCAGGGCCCCGTCGGCGTAGGCTCCGGCGAAGATCGCGGGGTGCTTCTCCTTGTGCTGGATCTTTTTCGCCTGGCTGATCTTCTTCTGGATCTTCTTCGCCTGGCTGGCGTGCGCTTTCATGTCCTCCGTCTACAGGGCCCGCCGCCGCCCGCCGCCGCGGCTGCGGCTGCGACGCCTGCCGCCCGCCTTCGGGTTCTCGTTTTTTTGGCGGAGGCCGTCATCGAGGAGGCCGCCGAGCCACGGAGGCGGCCAGAGCGACAGGGTCAGAGCCAAAACGGCTACGGCCACTACCCTCGGCGAAGGTCACCCCTCGAGCCCCCGGCGCGCGCGTTTCCATTCATGGTGAAGAACGCCCGAGACATCCGAAAAGGCCCAGCCAAACTTGAACCACAATACAAACAAGCGATGGGAAACGAACGATGGGGCCCGCAGCGCGCCAAACAGCGAGCTTGCGAAAATAGATGTCACTGGCGTGAGCGCTTGTAGGTGAACAGCGAAGAAACAGCGCAAAGCGCTGGAAGAGGAGCGGCGATCAAAGGAGCGCTTCGTGCTGCGATTGACACATGGGTTGGCGCACATACATACATACATACATACATACATACATACATATATACTCATATCTATATATAGCGCACGCGCTCGATTTTTCAGCGCGCGCTTGGACGTTCCCCTTTTTCCCCATGCAGCGCTTAAGCGCTTGAGCGTGCCGCAGCTGGCTCGATTGTAGTTCGCCCGATATCAAGCCCGCGCAGCTCAGCAACCATCCCAACAGCCTGCAATACCCGAAGACTGCACCAGCTCGCCCGACTGCATCGAGTGGCCCACTGCTTCAGCTGCCTGAACTACACGTTCAGGAGGGCCACGAGCTTCTTTGTCTGGCCCCCGAGGCTCACTGCACCCTCGGGTGGGGCGCCAACCCCATCCCATCATGATGCACCCTGCCCCCCCCCCCCCCTATGGGAGGAAGGGGTGGTGGGCGTGTGTGAGTGTGGGGAGGGGGGGGGAAGAGTGCACTTAAGCCTAGGTCCTTGAGCTCAGGCACGTCGCCCTTTCAGCGACAGCTTCGCCCTTGACGCCTTGATCTGCATGGCCTCCATCTCGGTTTTCTTGTCTTCGGCTTGACTCACGAGCCGCTGGGCCAGCCTCCTGCTCGCAGGGTGCGCGAGCACATCCTGCAGCGACTTCAGCGCTGGATTCAGCTTTGTGTCGAGTTTCTCGCATTCTGTATTCCTTATTCTGGAACTTTTTCTCATCTGTTTTGGCCTTCTCCTCTTTCGCCTTATCCCTTTTGGCCCTCTTCTTCGCTTCCTTATTTGCCTTCATCTTATTTCTCTGATTCTTGGTCTTCTGAATTTTTCTTGCCCGAGTCTGATGAGAAGGAACTCGGGCCCGAATCGTCATCGCTATTCCCGTCCGTCTCCTCAGGCTCCTCTGACGCTTCTGGCTCTTCTGGCTTTCCGGGGATATTGGCGAGCGGCTTGAACCTCTTTGCCCGACCGACAGCTCGGCCCCTGGGCGCAGGGCCCATCCTTCTGCCCTCTTTCCCCCTGCCGCCTGTGGTCGTCAGGCGAAGCCTGTAGCAAAGCCCGAAGACGTCGTGGTGCTGCTTACCAGACTCCCTTGACTTCGCCTGGATGGCATCCGTGTCGTAGCCCTGCTGCTTCCCATAGCCCAGCGGCTGAAGCGCGCCACCGTTCTCGAAGTATTCTTCGTTCACTTCGAACTTCGAGATAAACGCTTGAGCAGCAGTTTTTACTTGCGCCTGAGCCCCCCCAGCCACGCAGTGGAAAAAACTGCGTCGCATGGGGCGAATTGCCGTTGAAGCACGCCGGGACCTTCCCAAAGGCTCGGCAAACCTTCACTCCTGGTGATGGCCTTGCTGCACTGCGCTTGGGAGCCGCAATTTTGGCAAAACGCCGCCGTTGTCTTGATGTCGTCGTCATGTTTTTGGCCACATTGAGACCTCGATGTTTTCGTTGTTCTTGCCCTTGCCCTTGCCCTCAGGCGCGTCGGGCCCCGCGGCCGCAGGTATCATTGCTGTGTCGGTCGCATCGTTGCCCTTGCCCTTGTCCTTGCCCTTGCCTTTGCCGCCGCGGCCTCTGCCCTTGCCCTTGCCCTTGCCGTTGTCGCCTGCATCTTCAGGCTCCGCGGGTTCCGCTGGCCCCGCGGGCCCCGCGGGCCATTCAGACGCACCATGCTGAGCAGTTGCCTCCTCGTCGGATGTCGAGCAGTCCAGCGCGCGGTCGCCATGGGGCCTCCCTTCCCTCTGTAGCAAGTCGCGGGCGCCCAGTTTACACCGCGGGCACTGCGCCTCCTCGAGCGCCGCAAGGTCCCCGACCTCCTGGTATTTCTCGATGCATTACTTGTGGAACTTGTGAGTGCATCCAAGATAGATGCTCTCGTCGGAGACGTCCTCGAAGCCAGCCTGGCAGATGGCGCAGAGATTGCCCGCCATTGCTGAGAGCGCGCTGCGCTACCCCAAAGCCGCCAGTAGCGGCCGTTGGGCCGACACGGCTGCAGCGACAGCGCATTGCGCTCACCCTCACTAAGCGCATTGCGCTGTATCCTAATATACACAGACTCTTAGAGCGCACTACGCTGCCTTTAGAGCACATTGCGCTGTGTTCTTACGGGGATCCATGTTTCTAGCGACGAGAGCGCCATGCAAATCGCGCTGCCAACCCGCGCGGACCGCACCCTGAGTTTACCGCGGGCTTCCCCTCATGCCAGTAGAGTGTCAGTCCAGTAGGCCAAGGGCTTTCTGGGCAGTAGCCCAAATCTGTGTGACCGAGTACTGCGTATCCAAACCGACTGCGCCATATACACGCATCAGGTCGGCTGGATTGACCGCCGAGCATCGAGAAGACGCTATAGCCAATGGGCTCTCTTTCGTAGAACAGCTTGCACTGGCAACCGTTCATGATTAAATCGCTATTGTGTTCCGCCCGCTTCTTCGGCGACTCCACCGGATCGAACTTCTGCTTGCGCATCATGCGCGTGTACATGTAGGTTTTCGCCGTCGGCTTCCACGGCTTACCACCTTCTTTCAAAGGCTTCCCGACGAATGACATGCTGATCTTGTGGTTGAAATGCACGTGGCCAAGTTTGAACGTCTCCGTTGAGCAGATCCCCCGATGCTCGGACTCGGAGCAATCGGAGCAAGTATCCGAAGGTGGCGGCCGCAACTTGGTCGTCGGTGCATCCCAAGCCTCCCGCGGCAAAGAGCCCCCCGCGTTCGACCCCATGCCCAGCCCCATGGGCGCAATGTCTGAGGACAGCAGCTGCGACATCCTGTCGCAGCAGCTGGGAGCGCGCTGCGCTACCCCAAAGCCGCCAGTAGCGGCCGTTGAGCCGACGCGGCTGCAGCGACAGCGCAATGC